CACGGCGTGAGGCGAGGCGGGGCAGCGGAAGAGGGGCTGGCGGCGCGCACGGCAGGCTATGGCCCGGGCGACGGTGGCTGCCGAGGGACAGACTACGTACGGCGCCGGGCAGGGGAGGGGCCAGGCTGCGGGGGAGACCGAGGGGCGGGGCCGAGTCTCCTTGGCAACCTGGACCGTGGTGCAAGGGTGGGGCTGAGGGCGGGGCGGGGCCAGGCCCAGAGGCTGCAGGGAAGGTCGGGGGCAGGGCCTGAGCGGGGCGGGGCGGGGCCGAGCCCCTCATCTTATATACAAAGCTGCGGAGGCTCCCACTTCTTTTATTATTGCTTCTTCGTCAAGTCCCACGGTCCTTTCACCTAGCTGTCCTCACTGCTCCTTGGACACTCCAGCGCGCTCTCACCTCCGGGCCTTTGCACTGCCTGTGCCGCTGCCTGGTGTACCGTTCCTCAGACACCCGAATGGCTTTCTTCCCCATGCCTTTCAAGTCTTTGCACTAATGTCTCATCTACTGAGACGCCCTCTTCAATAACATTTATTTCCACCTGACAAACTGTAGCGTCAGCTCCACAACAGAAGGGATTTTTGTATCCTGCTCTCAGCTGGACTCAGAGCCTGGCACGCAGGCTTTCCATAAACATTCGTTGAATGCACGCAGACGGGAGACCCATTCCTGGACCAAGGAGGCCTGCCCTCCCATGCCTCAGTGTGACGCAACGGCTAAGAGAGTCTGAGGCCTGCCAGGTGTAGCCTTGTTTCTGTGATGTTCTGGGATGAGGAGAGGGCAGATAAAGCTAAATCCCACCACCACCACCCCCAAATTAATCAGCAGGCCAGGATCATTTCTGAAGTTAGTTCCAGGCCAATCATGCATTTATTTCTTTATCCACTCAACAAATATTTATTGAGCACCTGTTGTATGCTATACCCTTTGCTGAGTGCAAGGACACAGCAGGGGAAATGACAGACACAAAGGCAATGAAAGTGGTTTTCTGAAATACTCCATGGCTGGAGGAGACCAGCCCCATGAGGTTGAGTCAGTGGATAAGCCCTGAGGATGGCCCTGGCTCTGCCTAGGGAGAGAGACAGGGCTTCCTAGGGGAGGGGAAATTGGAGACAGGGCTTTAAGGATTGAATAGGAGTTGGTTGGATATGAAGGGGGCATTGGAGCCAGGATGCCAAGGAATTAAAAATTGGAGCCTGTGTATAAAGGATCTTGAATGTCAGGAGGCTA